AAACCATAATCAACCAATACAAAACATATTAAAACCATACAATGGGGATCAGGACTGAGATCTTCTATAGCTCATCAGATTGGGAACTCTTCTCATCCTGACCCCAAGGCCCTGGGAGAGAACCAGCTCTTAACCACCTTTCTAAAGGCCTGAAGCGATGGGAAAATAATTCCAAAGATCTATACTAACATAATATCAAACTACAAGTTGAGCTTCCAAATATAAGGGCAAGCTGTGATTCAGAGTTACTTGTCTGCCTGTTGCTTCCATGGGCTCAGCAGACAGATTCTTTAATGCAGTTATTTATGGAGGCAGGGCAGTGGCTGGAGCTGTAGTTTGTCAGTTCAGGAAACAGTGCAAATCTTCGTTATTTTCCTGTGAGATGTCTGGATTAAGCCAACAAGTTGTTTTGCTAAATTACAAAACTTTGGTATTACAGGTATTGGTGATACCATTGGTATTGCTTTAAAAGTGGCAGACACTCTTCTGGTGTTCTTGGTGTTGATCCATAAAAATGGGTATCTGTAAGAGGGTCAAATGACGAATGGGCATTACAACAGGAGTTCCACCCCTTTTGTATGCATATTGCAATGTCACATGTATGAATATAAAGGGCAGGGCTTGCTCTGCAATGCTTGTTTCAGCATTCTGACAAAACAACTAGATTCTGCATTTGCCTCTGTCCATAATTAACTGGTTTCCCTATTTGTTCTGTAGTTCTGCTATCGACAGATATATTTCTATGGTTTCTGTTTCAATAAAAAGAATATATGAAGCAATTATCTTAAAATTACAACAATCCCTGAAATGCTGCCTTTCATCCATCAATAAAATAATAGAGGTGTGGGTAAACTCTGGGCCACAGGTGGTCCTCCTATTGTCCCATTCATAGTATCCAGAGTGGGTGCTGTTTCACTTGGGAGAATGAATGGGTAAGTGGATGAGAAATGGATAGGAGGTATGAGAGCCAATGTAGTGTAGTAGTAAAGGTGTTACATATGGAGGAGCAGGGATCCAGTACTCAACCATGGAGTGCTCTGATGACTTTGGGTCAGTCTCTCTTTCTCAGCCCATCTTATTTTACAGGGTTTCTGTAGGAATCATACTGGGGAAGATACAACTGTATGCTGGTTTAAGTT